CGTCATCAACCGCATGCGCGAGAGCCGCAGCGAGGACGTGATGCGCATCACCGTGGGCGTGGACGGCTCGGTGTACAAGCTGCACCCGAGGTGAGCCCGCACGGCCATCTGCCCCTCTCCGCCGCGCCCAGCTTCCGCCTCCGAATTCGCGCCGGGAGGGCAGAGCCCTGGAGTCAGTCTATATGTGCCATACACAGGCCGAAACACACACTCTCTGAGGTCCCAGGGATCCTTATCTCATCCCCATGCCCCTTGACACAGGAGAAGGGTCCCCTTGGCTTAGCCCCTGCCCTGCATTCAGCGCGTGGTGACAGCAGCCCTGCTTCCCCTCTGCTCAGCTTCAAGGAGCGGTTCCACACCAGCGTGCGCAGGCTGACGCCCAGCTGTGAAATCACCTTCATCGAGTCGGAGGAGGGCAGCGGCCGGGGCGCGGCCTTGATCTCCGCGGTGGCCTGTAAGAAGGCCTGCATGCTGGGCCAGTGAGGACAGAGGCTGCACAAGCAAGGAGGCTGTGGCCGGCCAGTGGACGTGGGCTCCAGGGAGCGCGCTCCCTGCCGGTGCTCCCAACCCGGCCCAGTCAAGAGGCTTCTCCGTGTAAGGACCCTGGACGCCTCCCATCCCCACTGTGATCCCCAGAAGTTGGGGAAAGCCCGTCGAGGGGAGTGCGGGGCTTGGAGCAGGCCTCTTAGCTCAGGGTCAGTGGACAGGACAGCCCTAGGGCTCTGACTGGGTTGGGGGCTGAGATGAGCAGGGATGGAGACCCCCCCCAAAGTACCTCACCTTTCTTGCTGGAATCAAGGACCCAGAAGGGAGTCACTCACTCAGGATTTTGTTGCATTTGTGCACTGCTTGGAACTTTCAGCCTGGCTCAGCCAACCTTGGGCCCTGGCTCTGGGAAGGAGATGCCCCTTGGACCCTGCTATGGCCTGCCTTCCCTGGGAACTTGGCACACATAGGGAGACAGCCCTTGTCACCTGGCCAGACCTAGACCTGGGTTCCATAGGGTGATTTGAGGCGGGTGCTGCTGATCACCCAGGCCTGGCCGTTTTCTTGCCTGGGAAATGGGGGGACCAGCTCCATGGGGGAGGCTGCAGGTACCACACACGAGGCCTGGAGATGGCAGCCTTTTCCCCCTCATACTGCCATCCGTGAGTGGTTTGTGGTTCTGGGATGGACCCTCACAGGAGGCCCAGAGGGCCCCAGGAAGAGGAGGCGTCCCACTACCCACAGGGAGGCTTAGGAGCACCTCCAGGATGGAGTCCTTGGTTCCCCAGTGCTGGCTGGGAGAGAAACCCCAGGCAGCACTCAGCACACCCCCAAGGGACAACCCAGGCCTCCTTCTCACCAGACCTCCATGTACCACGCCAACCTCTTCGTGCCCAACCTGGGACCATGTGGGGTTTTTTTTAATTAAAAGTTTTAAAAGTTTAGAACGTGACCTTGTCTACCATTCTTTGACCCGTGTGTAAGGGCTGTGGAACAACATGTATAAAGATGTGGTCACATGAACACAGACACTCTGCAGGCCTAGGCATGTCTTGGAATTTGTCATCGTCTCCGACCAGCTACACCGGGGAGCATAGCGTAGAGTGACAGACCAGGCTGCAGAAACAGGAATGGGGTGGCATGGGGGGTCAGTGTGATCTGTGGTTCTGGACTTCTGGGGTGTGGTTCCACCTGACCCTAATCACACAGCCACTCTGAGGTTTCCAAGAGCTCCAAGGGTGTGTCCAGGAAGGAGTGGGGCTGCTCTGGGAAGGGGGCAGGCAGGGCTGGTCTCTAGGACTGGTCCTGCTGCAGGTTGTCTCAGCAGGGGGTCCCTCGGAGCCACTTGCGTTGTGGCAGTGATGGGGGGACCAGGAGTTGAAGAAGTTACTTGATTTCTGAGGTGCTTCCAGATGCTCCTGGATGAAATGCCTAGCCTGGAGCCTAAGACCATCTTCCACGTAAACCCAGTTACAAACGAACACATATTTGTAAGATTTTAACATACACTTATTTTTTAATAAGAGAAGCTATCCAGCAAATCAGGAATGACTGTGCTGTTTCGTTCAGGACTTGACCCAAAGTTGTGATTTTGCATAATCACATCCTCACTGAGATGTTCTCTCGTTTTCTGGTGTGTCTCATGTGCAATTACTTCTGATTTTTTTAGTTCTCTCGAGTCAAAATTTTGCATCAAATTATGTTTGTGCAAGCATCACTTCTTTATCAGGACGAATGTACTCGTGTTTAGCGTTCACGCACAGTATAGAATCTCATTTTGTCCTGGGGTGGCAGGGGGCCCTCTCCTGTTCCAGGTTCAAGGGGGCAGCCAGTGGCCCACTCCTTCTGGTCTGGAAGGTCCCCAGCCCCGCAGCCCTTCTCTTCCCTGGGCCAGCAAGGGGCCGGTGAGGCAGCTGCTCTGGCACCACGGTGAGAGTCCGGGCCCCTCATTTTGGGGTTGAGCCCCACATGAAGGGCTAATGACCTGCTTTCACGGGGGTCCCAGTGGACTCGGGGTCCAGGCAGTGCTCCACACTCCAAAAGCATCACACTCAGGTTCTTTTGGGGGTCGCAGCCAACTCAGGGCTGCCTTCTCCCCTTGGTCAGAGGGGCCAGAGCCAAGCGTCTTCACCAAAACCTCTGGGAATCTCTGGGGGGAGTGGGGGCGACTCGGGCCAGAGACCATCCTCAGACCCGCCCAGTGCCTTCCCACGCCCAGTGGGGGCTCTGGGCCTGCCCTCCCCGCGCTGTCCTCTTGGCCTGTGCAGATTCTGGGCTGGAACTGCAGGAAGGACAGTCAGGTGGGGGCAGCAGGGCCCCGCATTCAGCACTAGAAGGGGGAGAGCGGCAAGCCTGGTGCTGCCAGGATGGGTGGACACCCGGATGTGACATGTTGGGGGCCTGAAGGTCACCAGGAATGTGGCTGGAATCTGCTTGGGGCCCTGTCCTCCCCCAGCCCAGGCACAGGCTGCCAAGTTTGGGCCTGTCCTCTCCTCCTGTCCTTATTTGGCGCTCCAGGTGATAAGGCTGAGACATAAAGGGGGCTGTGGGCCCCTCACAGGGACCAGGCTGCAGCACAGAGAGGATGGTGAGTGCCCAGTGGGGGGGACTCCAGGCCAGTGGCTCCCAGCTGCTGTCCTTTGGGCTGGGGGAACAGAGCCGGTGACTTCTGTGCCTATGTTGGGCCTGGAGAGGTGGTCCCCAGAGATAGGAAGAGGACCCTGACCCTGGCTGTCCTGGGAACGCTGTGGGGGTGTCCATGGTGGGGAGTCTTTAGGGAGCTGGGGAGAGGACCCCTCTCCACCCATGGGGGTTGCAGGCCAGCAGGAAGGCGGGGACCCGGAGCAAGGCGGCAGCCACCAAGCAGGCCCAGCGAGGCTCTTCCAACGTCTTCTCCATGTTCGAGCAAGCCCAGATCCAGGAGTTCAAGGAAGTGAGTGCCCCATCGCCAACAGCCTGGGACCCATCGGGGCACCCTGTCCCGCATACACTCCCTCTTCTCTGTAGGCCAGTGGTCCTGGCCCCTGTCCCTGCTCCTCCTACCACCCAGGACTCCCCGACTTCCCACTTCCCCTAGGGTGGGGGCTGCTCCCATCTGGAGACTGTGACCCCTTGCCTCGCAGGCCTTCAGCTGCATCGACCAGAACCGTGATGGCATCATCTGCAAGTCGGACCTCCGAGAGACCTACTCCCAGCTGGGTGAGGCGAGCCCATCTCCACCCAGCCGTGCCCTGCTCGGGCCAGGGACTCAGCTCAGAGCTGCTGGGCTGGTGGGAGGGGACAGGCCTCCTGTCAGTCAGTGGCCCTGCCTGTTCTTGCTGCTCACGCCTCCCTTCCCCTCACACTGCCCCGACTGTCTCCTCACACACCCCTCATCGCGCCTTCCTTCCACTTCACCTCCCCACCCAGAGCTGCCTCTGACTCTCTACCTCTCTACCCTCCGTGGTTGGGAAGGAGGGAAGGGCAGCCTGGGCCCTACTCACAGACACTCAAGGTCTCCGTGTCCATCTCACGCCCCTCTCTGCCCCACCAGGGAAGGTGAATGTCCCGGAAGAGGAGTTGGACGCCATGCTGCAGGAAGGGAAGGGGCCCATCAACTTCACCGTATTCCTCACACTCTTTGGGGAGAAGCTCAATGGTGAGCCTGGGGCAGGTCTGGCTCCTCCCGGCAGGGCAGCAAGCCTGAACCCCACCCAGACCCCACCAGGCCCTTGCCCACCCAGAGGCTGCGGGGCACCCCCCTGCCTCCCAGACCCATGGGCACTGATCGCCTCGAGCCCCGACTTAATTTGGGAGCCTCTACTCCCAAATCCCTAATTGCAATCTCCTGCCCATCTCAGAAGACAGCTGATCTTGGCTTCTCTGACCCCAAGAGACATTTTGTATTGGAACACCCACCCACCTCTCTGGGACATGGAAGTTTCCCCTTGCACCCTGGGGTCCTCCTAAGTGGGGGCTGGAGGCTGGGGGAGTGGGTGCTCACCTGGCTCCTTTGGCCTCCCAGGGACAGACCCCGAGGAAGCCATCCTGAGTGCCTTCCGCCTGTTTGACCCCAGTGGCAAGGGCGTGGTGAACAAGGATGAGTAAGTGTGAGTGGTGGGGCGAGGGGTGAGCGGTGAGGGGCACCATTTGGGAAGCAGGGAGGGAGGTGGGTCCTACTGTGAGGGTAGCCACCTGTACTTGGGAGCCTCTGTGCTCTTGAGGGGTGGCCACCTGGGCCATGGGAGCCTTTGTACCCTCTTCCAGTGTGACTACCCACCCAAGGCTCTCCCCACTGCTCCCCACTCCTCCAGGTTCAAGCAGCTCCTCCTGACCCAGGCAGACAAGTTCTCTCTGGCTGAGGTGAGAATCCAGGCTTCAACACCTCTCCCCAACCCCTCTGCAGGGCTGTCACCCTGTGGGGCCCTGGGGAGACCTCAGTGGCCCACTGCCCTCGTGGGGGCTCTCTGGAGGGTGAAGGATGTGGACTCAGAAAGGGATGAGGTGTGTGGGATGAGTGAGCTGGGTGTGCAAAGGCCCTGGGGCCAGAGAGCACAGTGCGCCTTGACATCTGGAAGAGATTCCGGACACACAGGGCTGCGGAGCAGAGGGGCAGCCCAGTGACCAGGGTGAGCCCTTTAACCCACAGCCCCTTTCCGGCCCCCTTCTCAGGCTGCTCAAAGTCGGACAACAGAAAAGCAGTAACTCAGAGTTTGAGGTTTGGGGCTGAAAAAGCTCAGGAGCAGTGCACAGCCCCAGGGGGCAGGATGAAGGGTCACAGCCCTCCCCCAGGTCACAGCCACCTCCCCCAGGCCTCCCTGGCTGGGCTGCCTCTCACCAGTGCCTTCCCAGGTGGAGCAGATGTTCGAGCTGACGCCCATGGACCTGGCGGGGAACATCGACTACAAGTCCCTGTGCTACATCATCACCCACGGGGACGAGAAAGAGGAGTGAGCTTGGCGCTGGTGGCTGTGACTCAGGGCCAGTCTCCGAGGATGCCCCAATAAAAGCTGTTTCTAAATCAGAACCGGAGTGGTGGCCTGTCTGTGACAGATGGGTGGGGGTGCCAAGGGGATCCGAGGGGCCTGATGCAGAGATGGCTGTGAGTGGGGGTGTGTGACAGAGGTGACTTCTGGCCCCTCGCTCAGGACTGGCTTCCATTTCTCTGGAGAACACAGGCAGATGGGTTGAGCTGGCTGTGAAAAGGGCAAGACTTCTTGCTTTTCCATCTCCGTGATGAGCACGGGGTTCCAGCTTAGCGCTTATTCCATAACACATCTGCCTTCTTTCTCTTGACTTTGGTGGAGAGGTTCTTTTCTGGGTTGGCAGGAGATTTTGTTTTACTTATCTCCCCAGCTTGGCCTGAAGCTCCATCCCACCAGAGCCTCGGCCTCGCTAGATGGGGTGCGTGTGGGATGTGGGGTGTGGGGGCAGGTGGCCTCAATGGGTTGGCAAGGTGTGCAGCCCACGGTCAGTGAGGATCCTGGCCCCTGTTCTTTGCGTTTTCTGATTTTATCCTGAGTCCTCCGCAGTCCCCAGCCCGGGCCACAGTCCCTGCCCTGCCCCCACCCCATCTCAGAGGCAGGGCGCACACTTTTTCTCCAGCCTTGTTAACTCCTGCTGATAAAGTTAAAGACAGGCTCTTTTATCAGCCCCGCCCTGCCAGGAGAAATCTTGGAATTGCATCCTTCCCCAGGAGGTGTGGCCTGTCCTGAGGTTTAGCGGACAAGGTCTGATGGTCTTCGCTGTCCCAGTGCCCCACCTCGCCCACCTTCTGGTCCAATCCCTCTCCCAGCAGGCTGAGAGCTCCAGTTTCCTGGTTTGGGTAGGAGGGTCTGAGAGATGGCAGTACATGTGGATTGCTGGTACACATACAATGTTAGGGCTAAGAGTCAGGCTGCCTTGGTGTGAATCCTAGCTGTTACTCACTAGGCATGTGACCTCTCTGTGCCTCAGTTTCCTCATCTTCAAAGGGTTATATGAGGATTAGTGAATTAGTATATGTCAAGCATCTAGAACAGTGTCAGGTCCATAGCAAGAGCTTTGATGTGTTATCCGTTATTATTACCTACTTGTAGTTGAGACAAGACCGGGACTTGGGAACAGACTCAGAGCGAATGAGCAGAACAGCATGTGCTAAAGGGCGCGTGAGACAGAATCCCGGGGCTGGTGGGAGTGGAGAGGAAGCTTCATGGGGAAGGGGCACTTGGGCTCGCTTAGGAAGTCTGTGGATAATGGAGATGTGGAATCCCCCACCCCCGCCCCGAAGTCGGGGACGGCAAAGGGAAAACCTTGGTAGGTAGGAAGCAGCGTGGATGATGAAGGACAGAGGACAACAGAGACTGGGGAGTGTTGGGTGAAGACTGGCAGGGCTGTGGCCCTGTGCGGAGAGCCTTAGGCAGCCGGTCGGCTTCCTTAACCTAACCCTGACCCTAAGTCCTCCCCCGCTGTCCTGGATCCCAGTCCCTGGCCCTGTCCTCGGACCTGAGGAGGAGTAATATTTCCCCTTGGGCGGCGCAGCCATCGGCCTCAGTCCTCCCACACTGGCGTCAGCACTGGAGTCTACCTCAGAGGCACCCGGCAGGGTCCTGGGGTGGCGCGATGGGTGCCAAATCTCGGGAAAGGAAGGCTAGGGGACTTCAGGGACAGACAGGACTCAGGGGAGCGCCTGGGCTGATGCGTCCCACACGCGTGCGCACAGGTCCCTAGGCGCCAACCCCGCCTCGAGTTACCCGGGGAACCGGCGGCGTGGCTCCGCGCACGCGCAGCGCCCAGGGGCGGGGCGTGCGGCAATGAATGGGGCGGGGAGCGCGAGGATTCGTGGGAGCCCCCGCGGTGATGGACGGAGCAGGGAGCGCGGCGATTGGCGGGATGCAGCATGGG